ACAATTTTTTTCTTTTTGATTTTTTACCTGGATTACTGAGATGCATCAGGACATTGACTGATTTCATTGTGGATTCTTCCCTAATTAGATTTGTTTTCACCGTTTCACTGGAGGAGAGTTAGGTTTAGCTGCGCTGCCTTCCAACATTGACCTCACATGTGCACTTGTTACATCCCAATCACACAGCACAAACTGCAGTAATCCCAAAGTGGCAAAATTTAATCACTGACAGTTTTTCTAACAATTAATTGCACAGAATTTCACCCAGCCCTAAATGAAGCCGTGACTTACCYTGTCCATACCCTCCTTCTCCAGCTTGGCTTTTTCCAGGTAGTAGCTTTTCTCAGTTACACTAAGTCTTTTCCAGCTCTCGCTGATTTTTTTGTTGACCTCTGATTGGGGCATATTTTGYGATCCAAGCTGCATGACCTGATGGACATCGAAGTAGTACAGCAGGTAGGCAGACCTGAGACAAAATCAAATCCACATACACAATTAACACATGACAGAGGATTTCTAAGGTTTATTCAGTTTTTAGYACAGGCCTTGAAGCTCACATTACCGTGGTTTCTTAGGTCTCTCAACACTGTCCTCTTGAGCTTTGTTTCTTTTCTTTTTTGAGGTCACGTCCATTTCTGTGTAATCTCTCTCCAATTCTTCAGTCGATTTTACAACCTCTAACACCTCCTCCTCCATGTTTTCCAAAAGATATCTATTACTAATACTTTTAGTGTTGAAATCCTAAAAAGAGGAYGAATATTTTACAGAAAGTCTGTACCACATGACTGTATCTTCCTKAAGCAGAAAACTATCACACTTTTATTTAACATTATTAAGAAGCATTGCATCAAAGAGTGTGCAAAAGCGAAAAGTGCCCAAATCTTAAAGGAATCTTGCATTTCTAGGCGCTTTATAATAGAACGGTGGGTGTGTTAAAGTGTTGCAAAAAGTCTGATTGGTTACCAACTAAAGAAGTTGCATGGAAAACATTGACACTTCCCTGCTTTACAACCAGGGTTAATGGCGTGTTGTAATACTGCCTGTACGGRCAGTCAGTTATCCAATGAAATGCCTTCTTGTTGAAACCTTACCTACGAATTTCCCGTGGCTCCAGAAACTGCTCCGAAACACTCCTTAGGACTCGCCAGAGAGGCCGGACATTGCGTCGACGGTAAGCAACGCCGAAAATTATCTTCGCTTCATGTTTCAAGAGGAATTTACGGCGTATAAATGTCCGTAAAAGCTGAAAAGTAGCCCTTCTTTCTCGTCATCTAGTGGGGGAAAAAAACATGGCGGTTTGTTGCCATGGCTCTCAACCAATCACATGCCGCGATAGAGAAGCACGGACCAATCAGGAAAGACGTTTTAAGTCGCATAAAATTGGCGCTTGCGTCCCACGGATCTTCAGTGATGCGTTCGTGAGCGTAGGTTAACGCAGATTCTGAACACGGATTCTGTTTAGATCAGAGGAGCCCAATGTGGGGCCCGCGGGCCAAATTTGGCCCGCCAAGCCATTTGATTCGGCCCTCCAACAGTTGCCAAAATTAAAAGGTTGTAACCTGTTATTCTATGTAGAAACACAATATTTCCATTGGTCAAATGACTATATAAAAGGGCTGTAGTGAAGGTAGTTTT